GATATATATATTACATATATAAATCCTCTATATGGTTAGTTAATTAATCAATTTTATTTCTCAGCAAACAAACAAATCTGAATTAATTAAAATTGAAAAAATAACCAAAAGTACCAAAAAGACCTTATCCCAATTCTTTCTTTACCCAATCTTGGATCCCTCCCCCCATTAAAGAAACACCTTCCCCCAATACCCTCTCTCTCTCTCTCTCTCTCTCTCTCTCTCTCTATATTTATTTTCTCTCTCATCACAACTTTGTGTTAGTGTGTGTGTGTGTTTTTCTCTCCATGAAAGAGAGATCAAGAAACTCCATGCCACAAGTCTTGTTCCACTACTTCCTAACCCTAATTCTCATGGCCCTCCTCACCTTCTTACCGGAATCTTCTTCGTCTTCTCACCACGACGCCAAAAAGAATGTCCGAACAAGTAACAATACTTCGAACCGCAAGAAAAAGAAGGAAATTACCAAACAGCCCTCGTCTTGGGATCAAATCAAGAACCTCCTCACCTGCAAACAAATCGAAGATTCCAAAATCCACGACCCTTCTAGAAGATCAAGATCATCATCATCAAATAATAACACCAACATTTATACCTCGTGCAGCTCCATTTGTACCTTCCGGGACGTCGTCCACGGCAACGCCCGCGTCGTCCACCGCGCCGACAACTCCCCCGAGAGCAGCGCTCTCGGCGGCCAGGAAACCAGGCTCCTCACCAAGAAGACCGCCGCCTCCCACGGCTCCTCCTCCTCTTCCAGGTCCATTAACTCCACCTCCGCCAGAACCGCCGCCGCAGGCGGCGCACCGTACACGTGCGGCCGGGGCATGCAGTTTAGGAAGCTCTCCGGGTGTTATGAGTGCCACTCAATTGTTGATCCTAGCAGGTTTTTGTTTAGTTATCATGATTAATTAATTAATTAACCCTAGGAAAAAGATATTAATGATTAATTATATTATATTGTGATTAAGTTAATTAATTAAATTAAGGTATTGAAATAAATAAATTAACAGGTATCCATTGCCAAGAACAACCATATGTGCTTGCTCTGAATGCGGAGAGGTTTTTCCCAAACTTGAGAGCTTAGAACATCATCGAGCAGTTAAGCATGCAGGTAATTAAATTAATTAACTAATTTCTCTTTTTAATTATTACTATTATGTTTTTAATTTGATTTTATATTTTTTTTATATATGAATGACTTAGCTGTTGCTTGATTATATTCCAGCTTTCACTTAATTATTTATTTATTTATTTTTAATTTAATTTCCTATTATGAAAGTCTACGAGTCAACGCTAATTAATTTGTATTAATATTTGTAACAAAAATGATTAATTTTATTCAAATTGAAAAGAAAAAATAAATAGTGTTACAAGAAAAATAAAATTGAATTTTTATTGAGGGAAAATTTTGAAGTTTAAAAACTTGTTAGTGCAGGCAAAACGGCATTATGCTGCAGTATAACTAACATTTAAATTGTTAAAAATCTAAAAAAATAAAAAAAAATAAAAAAAGTAGATTAAATTTGGTCCAATATAAGCATTAATATTTGCCTATCTTTTACACGGCACTGTGGGTAGTGGTGCTATGCCACTTCGCTTTCCAATGGACCATTTGGATTTAATATTACAGCTTTCACTCCATAAAATGGAAAAGTACAACTCTATATTACGTGTCGTTTCCTGGTTGGTGGTCAGTTTCCGCTTTTTTATGCACGAGTTGTACCTCACCGACAAAAGGAAGTTATACTTCAACCCCCGACCGGTTTGCCTTTTATGACTACTTAATTTCTCTATATCCATATATATATATATATATATATATAAAAAGGAAATAGAAAAAAAAAAAAATCATATTGTTTAATTTACCTAAGTTTCTCTATGTATGTGTTAATTAGCTTAAGGTTAAATTTATCTTTACAAATCAATTGAGTGGATTAATGTCTGTTAGTTCTCACGAGTCAACTGATTTAAATATGTTTACTCAACCGATTCACACCTAAATGGAAAAGGCGAATGGTGATGCTTAAATTTGTATCGACGAGAGACTTTCTACTAACAAAATTGTCTGGATATATTTTTCTCTTTTTTTATGAATTAATTTATTTAAGATTTTAATCATTATCTATTTGTTAATTTATTAATAATAATAATAATAATTATTATTATTATTATTAATAATTAGGAAGCTAAAATATCTCATTTTAATGATGATGTTGTTGTAGTGTCCGAACTTGGACCGGAAGATTCGAGCCGGAACATAGTGGAAATAATATTCAAATCGAGCTGGCTTAAGAAGGACAACCCGATCTGCAAGATCGAACGGATACTAAAAGTCCACAACACCCAGCGCACGATCCAACGGTTCGAGGACTACAGGGACTCCGTGAAGATACGCGCCAACACCACCACCACCAACTCCGCCGCCGCCAGGAGATCAACCAACGCCAGGTGCGCCGCCGACGGGAACGAGCTCCTCCGCTTCCACTGCGCCGCCCTCACGTGCTCGCTCGGCGCCCGCGGCTCGTCCAGCCTGTGCGGCTCCGTGCCGGCGTGCGGCGTGTGCACCATCATCCGGCACGGGTTCCAGGGGAGCAGAACAAGCGGGATCCGCACCACCGCCAGCAGCGGCCGCGCCCACGACGGGCTCGCCGGTCTCGGCGCGCGCCGCGCGATGCTCGTGTGCCGCGTGATCGCCGGGAAGGTGAAGGGGGCTGCGGCGGGGGATGCGGCTGCGGCGGCTGATGAGATTGGAGCCGGCGGCTCGTACGACTCTGTAGCGGGTTATGCGGGGGTGTACTCGGATCTGGAGGAGTTGCACGTGTTTAGCTCGAGGGCTATTTTGCCTTGCTTTGTTGTAATTTACAAAGCGCTTGAATATTAGGTTAATTAATTATGTTTTATTTTGATTTTTAATATTTTTATCATTATTAATTTTTTTTTCCTTCTTGTGGTAGATTTAATTGGTGTAATTTAATCAAGGAATCAACCTATTTGTAAATATTATTTTTGGGAGTGCATTGTATTAAGAAAGTGTTTCTTACAAGAATTTTAAATATTTGTACTAAAGAGATATAGAAATCGAAAAAAAATCACAAATAGCACAATTTGAATTATTATTTGGATTAATCGAGAATGTTCGACCCCGGTTATAACGTAGATGCGGCATTCCCACTCGGTGAAAATTTATATGGAGTATCGATAGTGTCGCGAGATGACCGTGGTTAATAGCCACACGAAAAAAAGGAAAAAAAAAACACGAAATTGAGTGAAATTCAAAAAATGCAATAAATATGTTCATTAAGTAGCACGTGAGCTGGTCTTGGGACACATGCAATAAATATATTAATTAGGGAGTAATTATAAGATGTACGACGACTTTTGACAGAATCAAAAATTAAAGACACTTAAAACAATTAATCCTCTCAATCTCTCTCATAATTGTCACACACATGCAATTAATTACAGCAAAAGTGACAGATTCATATATGTGTTAAATTTAATTGCCAGAAATAAATATTGTTAAATATCTAAACTAAAGCCATTGACTATTGTCTTAACCAATTACAGTATAGCTTTAATTAATTACGAATAGCTAATCTCGTCATCGGTATTGAAATTGTTGGCCAGCTAATAATGCTTAAAAATTTGTTGCAAGTTGTAACTGATTTTTTTTTTTCTTAATTTTTTTTAATTTATGTTTTAATTAAAAAAAGACTAGAAACGCATCATATATGTAGATTCTTAGGAACAATTTTTTCTTTATTTGAATACAAAATTACCTTGTACAAAAAATAAATAAATTAGTAAGTACAGTACAAAAGTAATTAGTGAATAAGATTGTGCTTAATGAAATGGGCTTTGTTTGAAATTTAAAGATTTTGGGCTCTTTGGCCCAAATGGAGGTTCAAAGTTCACTTCAAGAAATTCAAATTAAAGCCTATTTGAGATCCGGACCCATGAGGGCCGGGTAGGGTTGCCCAGCCCGACCCTTTTTGACATGTGATTTTTTACTAACAAAACATCAATAAGGTATAATTATTTATTTAATTACACCATAATTTTACTAACCTAATAAGCCATTGGATACCGTGTGGTCAATATCGTGGTCGTATACCGCGATATGTATCGCGATACGATACAATTTCTATACAAACGATACACTCGGCATATGCATCGATTGCAATCAAATAGAGCTAAACATCGCTCGATACCTCGATAAGATATGATATCCTATAACTACAATGTTTGTTTTTAGGGGTTGATTTGTGCGATTTTCTGCACATTTAGGGGTGATTTGTGTAATTTTCAGCTTATTTAGGGGTGATTTGTACAATTTTCAGCATTTGTCGTTCATAACCACTGTGTTTTTTTTTTTTTTAAATTAAGGCAAAACCACAAAAAATGCTTTAGATAAAAGCAATTATATTAGCAAAACGTAATAAAACCGAAACTAGCATATTTATTTAGGGGTGATTTGTACAATTTTCAGCATTTGTCGTTCATAACCACCGGGTTTTCTTTTTATTTATTTATTTATTTATTTATTTATTTTTATAATTAATGTAAAACCACAAAAAATGCTTTAGATAAAAACAATTATATTAGCAAATGTAATAAAATCGAAACTAGCATTTCTAAAAACTAATTTGAATTTTGTCAGACTCAATAATTTAATGTTTGAAACTTGAATTTAGATCTATTTTGAATGAAGGATTCGACTTTAAAATATTTAAGGGTAAATTACAAACACCACACTGAGGTATGTTCAAAGTACTATAACCCCCTTCTTGTTTGGATAATTACATCTA